GGGTTTGAATGCAGCTCGATTGCGGGCTCCCCGGCTCCGGGAGGCGGAACGTCGAGCCCAGGACCCCGCTTTCAGGCAGGCGGTGCCGACCCTGTGCCCCAACCTCCGGGCCTACAATTAGTCTTCACGGGCCCAGAGCCTCGCTGGCCGGAGGCNGGAGGCGAGGCCTGGCCGGCCTGGCGTGCGAGAGAGGATGTGGGAGTAGGCCCGGGCCTGGTGGCGGCGCCCGCGCGTGCGGGGGCCCCGTGGCCTACCTGCAGGAGGGGGTCCGGGGTCTGAGCGCCGACAGGTCGCCCGAAGGCCTCAGAGCGTGTCTGAGCGGCCGGAGCCAGCAGCAGGCTCCCCCGTCTCCATCCCTCACCTCCTCACGGGGCGCCGCGGTCTAACCGGCTGCTTGCCTGAAAAGTCAGTTAGGGACCAGCCTGAAGTTGCCACTCTTTCAGCGACTCGCTACATTTTTACAAAAGCACCTCTCGGCTCTCGGACGGGACTCACTTAGAACCTCCGGGAAGGCCGCGCTCGGCGCCCAGGCCCCTGTCCCTGCGCCCCCCGCCCCTGCAGAACGAACACCCTTTCGGGCCCGCTTCCTCTCTTGCCGGTGCCATCCTCTCGCCGCGTTCTGCCCGTTTTCGCGTTGCACTTAGCCTGCAGAAATTACCTTGTGTAATTGCTTGTTGCTTGTCTCTCGCAGCAGTGTGCGGACTCCGCGCGAGCCGGTCCCTGTTCTGTCCTGCGTCAGGCCATTGCATCCCCTGCCTAGCTTAACCTGCGTGGCCATTTCCTCGCCACCCAAAGTTGTTCTGGGGATGAGGGGGGCTGCCCGCTTCAGAGGAATGCCACCGGAGCGAGAGGACTGAGAGTGTTATACAGTAAGCTCTGTGCTCAGTGAATATAAATGTTAAAATTTAAACTTAGATTCTGTCTTGGGTTTCCCCTGCTGCTCAACACCTGTGTTTTGTTAGTTGTGGTATGCGGGGGAATTCGATCTAGTTTTAACATTAGACTCAGCAAAATGCAATTATGAAGATGAACCTTTAGTCACAACAATACATCTGTGGCATTCCAAAGACTTGGCTCGGTGCTAAACGCGAAGAATGAGTGACCGAGAACCGAGCGGTATGACATGGATGCGCTCTCTGGCTCGTATTACTTCTTTGTATCGTCACAGTGGTCCTTTGAATTTGGGATTACTACCCCTATCTTACAGGCGAGAAAACTGAAGCCCAGAGGGGCTCAAATCTTGGACACTTTATGGCCAGCAAGTGCCGGGGCTGGAATCATCAAAGTCTTTCTACTGTAAGCCTGTGGTCTTTCTGTTGTACAGAAGGCCGAGGGAGGGAGCTATTGGTGGGTCATGTTGGCAGACAGAAGCACTGATGTTGGAGCTTTTCCCTACTCTCTTCCTTGGGCCTAAAAAAGCCTGACTGTGTAGATTTCTCTAAGTTTTTGAACTGAGAAAAATGATTACCTATTTTGGATCAGCAAATTCATCCCATAGGCTAAGATAGACGAGGGTACTTTACTGAACATAGTCTGTCTTGTGTCCTTCCCTGCTCCTGGACACTAGTTTTCCCTTAGGTCTCTCTCTCTCTTTCTCTCTCTCCCTCTCTCTAGTTTTTGCATATTTTATTTTTCATTTGTTTGCTTTTTTCTTTTTCTAAATTTTAATTTATTATTATTTTAATGAAGAGATTTTTAATGTTGACATTATTGCAGGTGTCCACATTCCCGCCTCCCCCTTTGCCCACCTCCACCAACCCCCGCCTCCCCCTCTTTTGGCCTTCATCAAACTATTGTCCGTGTCCATGGGGTATGCATATATATTCCTTAGCTAATCCCTTCACATTCTTTATTTAGTCACCTCCTCCCCCTCCCCTTGGGCACCCCAGTCTATTCCCTGTATCCAGGCTTCCGGGTTCCACTCTGTCAGTTTATTTTGCTCATTAGATTCCACATATTAGTGAGATCATGTGGTATTTGTCTTTCTCTGACTGGCTTATTTCGCTTAGCATAATACTCTTCAGGTCCTTCTTTTTTATAGCCAAGTGGTATTCCGTTGTGTAATGTCCCACCGCTTTTTTATCCACTCATCTTCTGATGGGCACTTGGGCTGTTTCCAGATTTTGGCTATTGTAAACATAGGGGTGCATATATTCTTTCTGATTAGTGTTTCAGGTTTCTTAGGATATATTCCCAGAAGTGGGATTGCTGGGTCAAAAGGCAGCTCCATTTTTAATTTTTTGAGGAAACACCATACTGTTTTTCACAGTGGCTGCACCAGTCTCCATTCCCACTTAGGTATCTCTTGATTATCAAAACTCTCAGAGAAACTTCCCTAATATTGTATATGCTCAAACTGAAACCCTAAAGGTATAAGGCAAAAGACACCATATGTAAGATTTAAGAACAATTTTTTGAATATATGACAAAAGACTAATTTATAGAACATATAAATAAATACATAAATGAGGGGAAAAAAAACCCAGTAAACAGTGAGCAAACAATATAATGGGAAGTTTATAGCAGAGGATATGCAAATAGTCAAGTGGTCAAAAATATATAAAAAGATACTTAATTTTATTAGTAAAGCAATATAACGGAAACAATGACATACCTATAGGTGTGGCAAAAACAAGAAGGAGTGGTAACATTAGCAAAGTTATCAGGAAACAATTACTCCTACACATTATTGTAACTTGGTGCAACTGTTTTGGAAGGCAACTTTACAGTATTTATTAAAATTGTATGTGCATATATGTACCCTTTGTTTCAGCAATTCCACTCCTATAACTCATAAGTATACAAAGGTACATATAAAAATAGATTTTGGAAGTGTATATGGGCAGTGTACATATTAGTGTATGGAAAAATTATATAGGTATGTATATGTATATATACATATGTAAATACACATGTACCCTTGACTCAGCAATTCCACTCCTGTAACTCATGAAATTATGAAAAGTACATATAAGTATA